TCACTAATTTTTAATAGGAAATGTATTCAAAATTCAAATGGATATTTTTGTTTCAGTCTCTCCTATGCTACGTTATTGTATGTAATAATGCTTTAGTGAAAATCTCATTTGAACAGCAGAGACAAAAATAGAGTTTTATAATGTATATGCACTATACCATGTAATGTAATGTGATCACATCTAATTTTTAAATGCCAATTTTCGATACATCACATAATTAAATCTGATATCATTCATTTTTTTGAGAATTTTACATTTTTATGTTTTATTTGTTTAATTTGATTTACTTAATCCGATCTACTTTCTCTGATTATTGTTTGTCCATGCCTGACAATTGAATTGGCCTTTTGTTCCATGTCATGAAATTGCATAATACGTCCGATACAAATAAACTTTTTTGAACAGAGGGTATTTTTGATTTTTTTTTTCATTTTAAATCATGTAAAATATATGATGGTTATTTCCATTTTTCATTGATTTCTACTTCAAGTTCACAGCCATAAATAGATTTAAGCTAATACATGTATTCATTTCTTTAAATACATGTAAATGATTTTGATTTATGAAACTTTGCGATTTTTTTTTTAATTTTTGGTTGTCCCCCTTTTTTAACGGAGGTTACCCTCAGTCGTTATAAAATGAATAATGAAAGACTCCTCGGATCTTGCAGGTGCTTGATGATCCTTGGAGCTATGTATATAATTAGTTATACTAGTGGTAAGTATTCCACAAACTTGCCACCATAATTACCATAAGAACTTATTGGAAGTGCTTAAAACAGCAAAGACAACTCATATGTCCTTTTTCTTCAGTAAACAGGCTTCGCAACTTAAAAAAAGTTATTTGGTTTTTATAATATTTTTTTGTGAATGAAGAGATTCATTTGATTTATTAGGTCATTCTTCAGTTCAGTGCAGCTTAAAAATTTGTATGAAGTCTGACAAAATACTCGTCTCGTGTTCATAGTCTTCAAGATGAGTTGAAAAATTGACAACAGAACTCCAGCCGTCTTCTTTGAAATTTAATGCAAAACAAATTTTGTGGTTTTCCAAACACCAAAAATACCTGAATATAAAGATGTAAATACAACAAAATTAGAAATAAAAGTCTTAAAATAGATACAAAATCGGAATGATCGAATAAAACTACGTATGTATGTACTGAGCATTCATACGTGAACACTAATGTAACGTGTATTTTTAAACTGATACAATAAATAAGATCAGAACCTAAATTTGTACAAAGAGCAACAAAAACGTACTCTGAAAATAAATTGATAAATAAGGTAAAAATATCTATCTAGAAGTACGGTATCATATTTCAACGTATTGGAGAAAGGGGAAAAAGAAATGTCAAATTTATAATAAGGTAAACAGTTATCAATAAATTAAATAATCATATTGTTTCAAATTTACATTAAGGTAATCAAATATCAATGTAATGAATAGATATATTCATTTTGATCTTATAATTTGGAAAACAGATATATATGAAATTATAAAATATATTATCCTCAAAATTTATATTAAATTATAATAAATCGATATCGTTGTAACAAATAAGCATATTAATTTAAGGTATTTAATGAGGTAAAAATTTACAATAATAAAAATAAGTATATTAATTTCAAAATTATAAGAAAAACAGACGTCATTATTATGAATTAAAAAAAAAAATTAATTTCAAATTTAAAATAAGTAAGTCAGATATCAATGAAAAGAATAACGATGTTAATTTCAATTTATATTAAGATAATTGGATATCAATGTAATGAATAAACATATTAATTTAAAAGTTATAACATCAGTGAAAAAAATAAACTTGTTTGTTTCAAATTCATGATAAGTTAATGAAATTTTTATTTTGATAATAAGGTAGACAGATACTTATATTGAATAAACTTATTTATTTCATATTTAGAAGAACTGATCATAAATCAGTAAGATAAAAGAACATATATTTTGTATTCCTTCATTAGCTGACCTGTTTTTATATTCCTATGAAGCAGAATTTATTCAAAAATTTTTACATGAGAAGAAGAAAACACTTGCTGTGGCCTTCAACTCGACATTTCGATATATCGACGATGTATTATCAATTATCAATAGTTACTTTCATTCGTATGTCGATTAGATATATCCCAGTGAGCTTGAAATAAAAGACACCACAGAGTCTGCCACATCTGTTCCATGTTTGGATGTTTTACTGACTAAAGACGATAAGGACCACCTAACAACAACATTGTATGACAAACGAGATGACTTCAATTTTTCCATCGTCAACTTTCCTCATTTATGTGGTAATATTCCGCTATCACCTGCATGTGGTGTTTACATCACCCAACTTATTCGATACTCAAGAACATGCTCCGAGTACGATCAATTTTTAAACCGAGGCAGACTACTGACAGATTAGTTGGTGTTACAGGAATTTCAACAACCTCGTTCGAAGTCGGCATTTCGTAAATTCTATTGTCGTTATAATGACCTTGTTAGCAAATATAACCTATTACTGGGTCGTATTTTGACTGAATTATTTCATACCAATTGTTATGCCTTTGTTTTTGTACTGAATTTGAGTACGGTATGTTCCGTCTGCCTGATCAATGCATAGGGCTCACAGCGGGTGACCGGTCAACAGGGGATGCTTACCCCTCCTAGGCACCTGATCCCACGCCTGGAATTTCAAGGGATCTGTGTTTTATGCCCTCTTCACAGATTTGTATTGTTTGTTTTCATCACATTTTTCATAAAGATGTAAAATTACTTGAAGAACGTGAGGTTATTCCCGCACATGATAGGCTTGGGATTATTCAAATCATTATCGAGAAAGGAGAGGATGCCTGAATAGTGGTATCTCCCCAGCATTCTTTATTCATGCCATATCAAGTAGTGTGTTTATCCTGTGCATTTTTGGTAAATAGACATTTATGATGAAATAAAAAGTAAAATCAAGCTAGCTCTATTTTAGTTAACATTTATAAAGTCAATTTCATGGACTTAAACGGATCCTTGTTGTAAGACGTGATAGAAATTTCAATTACGTCTTTTCTTTCAATGTTATGTCCATCCTAGTTTAACAAATTATATATCTTATGATTTTGTCCATAACTTTTAGCCTAAAGGTCTAAGATGAAATATTTAAAAATTATTTTTTCCAACTCTCACAACAATATGGTTTTGCTAAATCAAAGTAAAGCAAAGAAAATCTATCCTAGAGAACATGATATAGATTTAAAAAAAAAACAAACAAAAAAAACCCCTGAAAATGTAGAAAATCTACCGAATCTGTATAACATAACAATAAAGTATCTGAAAAATACTGGCTTAAACACTTATCAATTCCTAAGGATATTGGTGTTAGTACGTGCTCATTTTCAATGAAACAATGATACTGGTTAAACACTTATCAATTCCTAAGGATATTGGTGTTAGTACGTGCTCATTTTCAATGAAACAATGATACTGGTTAAACACTTATCAATTCCTAAGGATATTGGTGTTAGTACGTGCTCATTTTCAATGAAGTATAACGAGAAAAACGCTTCTGATCTGCAAAATCTTCTGGAAATCAATCGAACAAATCTTCTCTTTAACAACTTAACAATCTTATTTTTTGGTTTGTTTACTTAAACTGAGTGTTATCTTCCAGCTATGCGGGAAAATGAGTCAAATTGTTTTGATAACTTTCAAACTTCCTGCATAATTTGGATTCTTAGATAACCATCTGATACCATTTGGATTTCCGTGATTTCCGTGTATTTTCTTTTATAAAACTTTATTAGAATGGAATTTAAATTAAAAATAGATTTGTTAATTCAAATGTCATTTTGAATATGTGAATAAATCTAAAATTGCCTATCATAAAAGATCAGAAGGATCTACTTTTAATTTTTTTTTTCAAAGGGGGGAGGGGGGCAAAGGTTAAGAAACACAACACACACTAACTTGTCACGAAATATTTGCTTTCTTTGTAAAGTCACTCCATTCTGAGACTAGTCATTCTGATTATTATTACTATACGTCTGTCATCACTTAACACTGAAATTAAATGAATCGTTTATAAACATAGATCTATATGATACAAATGAAGAATAGCGCATTTTTAACTACTTTCCTTATCGGAACTCTTTGGCAATGAGAAAAAATATATATAATGAAAAAAGTGGCAGAGATTCACGGGCTACAAATAAAGTTTTTCAAGTTACAAAGAATATACAATAATTAAAATTAATAGGCAACAAATATTGGAAATATACATGTATTATCATTTCTTTTTTGATTTATTCATATAATATTATTGAATATCTTTTCTTTTTTATTCCTTGAAAATCAAAATTAAACTATTTTTCAAGCAAAATTTAATGCAAATTAGATTCAATCATGTCCATCATTTAAACCAAATTTATTTATCAACTATTCTCCTTCTTTTACTCCTATAGACACAAAGCAGTTTTTTCCCTAAACGTTTACTGATAGGTAATATTTCAGTTATTTCCTTTGTCCTAGTAGGCATAATTTTACACAGGATAAGCGCAGTATTTCAAAAACAATTCAATACATATTGTCGTTTGTAAAATGATTTTAATCTTTATTATAAGGGAATGATCTTAGTTGTTTTTTGTTTCAAATATTGTGCCGCATAAAGGAAGACCAAATAAAAGAATGTCAACTGTAAATTTTCAACTCAGTGACTGTATCCTCTTCTTTATGCATGAGGGTAAGTTTTCGGGGGAAAAAGAGAAAAGATACCAACAATGATTCATTGTCAACAGAAATTTATTTAGACCGTCTGACCCTAATCAGTTTTCTTTGAACCATTATTTGCACATATCTTTGTTTCTGTCAAATTCTCAAGTTACCCCAATCAGTGCTGCACAAAAAGTCCAAACTCATTCTCAACACGGAAGAGGAATGGGATAGTATAAAAAGAGAAAGGAACTACATCCAACAACCAGAAAGTTTTCAGAGTCTAAGACAATATATCAGAATTGCAAGACGATGAATTCACTAAGTATTCTGTTGTCTATCACATTGATATCCTTGCTGCCCTACTCCTTGGTGGAGGCTCACGGCCGCCTGATCATGCCTCCCTCTAGAAGCTCTATGTGGAGGTATGGTTTTCCTACCCCCGAGAATGACAATGATCACCAGCTTTGGTGTGGGGGAAAATGGGTAAGAAATTACAGTTATAGATATTTTATTGTTTTTCTCTTCATATACTAAAGCACTAGGAATATGATACTAGTAATAAAGACATTTACATTGAAAAATAATTGAATGGAAAGGATTGTGGTTCTGCTGAGATTTATGTATTTAAAACATATCTCCTGAATGATTAGAGAGTTTGTAAAATATCAACAATGTGGGGTTCAATTAAAACAATGTAGCTGTGGTCAATAAATATAAACTGGCAGAATTTCAAACTTTTGAAATATTTTCAAAAATTTGTCAATTTAACAACTGAAATATTAATCATAATACTGGGAAAATAAGGATAAACAAAAATTAAAATTATTATAAGAATTGTGATACTCTCAGTCAAACTTAAATAGAATCTGTCGACATAATTGGGAAAATATCACTAATAATTATTTAAATCAGTAATCAGTAAAAATTAATAAATATTATAAATTAAATTATAAATAAATAATATTAGCATATATTTTATGAAATATGTCAATTTTTCTTTTCAAATTTCTTATTTAGAATCAGTGGGGACTTAACAAAGGAAAATGTGGTCTATGTGGCGACCCTTACCAGCAAAACCCGCGTGAAAACGAGGCTGGCGGAAAATACGCTACAGGCATCATTTCCAAATGCTATCAATATAATACCTCTGGACAAAATATGGAAGTTCAGGTAGAATTAACAGCTAATCATCTTGGGTACTTTGAATTTAGACTCTGTGAACATAACGACACATCAACAGCTATAACCCAAGCTTGCTTAGACAAGAACCTTTTGAGATTTCCGGACAACAGCACCAGGTATTACGTCAGAGGTGGTGTTTATGGAGTGATTAACTTTCAACTTCAGATTCCTGCCAGCGTTTCATGTACTCAGTGTGTTCTACAGTGGAAATATAATACGGGTAAGAGTACTTAGGTGTTGTTTAGAATTTCATTTTTTTCCAATCTAAGAACGGCTATGAAAAGTGCATTAATAATAATAATAATAGATTATTTTATCGAGTTTTCAATGAAGCTTAAGTTCCATTAATATTTTTAATACCAAAACGAAAAACAATCTTTTCTATCCAAATCAGTATTGTCTTTTTTAAGTTAGGGTCAGAAATAGATATATCAATTAATGTTTTCTGTTTTTTTTAATCAGGTAACAGTTGGGGCTGTGACAAAGGCGGGTGTGGGATGGGCAGAGGTGGACAGGAACAGTTTTATGGATGCGCAGACATAGCTATTCTCCAAAGCTGTGAACATTTCACAGGACTTGAACATCATTCGCTCCTCCCCAATTTTCTTCTGGGGAATACATTTTAAAGTCAAAGCTGATCTAATTAATTAAATGTGTTCCATTTTCTGCTAGATCCAAAGTCAATATGGTATTTTGAAGGGTAATAGCGAACTAAATAGTGGATATAAACACTACTTTACATGTCTCACTTTTGGATGATATTTCTTTTTTGATATTTTTTGTGCAATGGTTGTACATTATACAAGCCATTTTCATTTAATATTCATTTCATCAATTTTCATTTTATATATATTTGCATAATCTGAATTCTAGTCATTTTTATTTTTGATTTTGCAAATTATATCCAAAATTAAATTAATAAACACATCAATAAATTCACTGTCTATCGTTATGTTTCACAATATGTAACTCAGTCACACAATAGTTGTTAACGTACGGAGTGTAATGTAAAAGGTGCAGATAACGAACTGTAATCAATCTCATAAATACAGTAGACAAAAACTAATCGTGAACAGGGCAAAAACACGACCCCTTGAAACACCATACACAGGATCAGGCGCCTAGGAGGAGTAGCATCCCCTGTCGACCGGTCACACCCGCCGTGAGCTCTCTATTGATCAGGTAGACAGAGCACCCCATAGTCAAATTAAGTATAAAAGCAATGACCTAACACATAGTATGAAACATGTCAGACAAATTACGATCCAATGATAGGTTGTATTTACAAACAAGGTCAATTATAACGGCCGTAGAATTTGAGAAAAGCTTACTATAAATGGGGTTGTTGAAACCCTTGTAACATCAAGTTATTTGTCAGTAGCTTGCCTCGGTTTAGAAATTGATCGTACTCTTCGGGATGCTCTTAAGTATCAGTTAAGCTGGGAGACATAAACAGCATACGCAGGTGATGGCGAAATATTACTGGATACAACAAAAATTGACGGTGGAAAAGCTGGAGTCATCCCGTTTGTCATACAGTTTAAATTTACATGATAATTCCTATTATTACCTACGTATACATGCATGTATTGACAAAATATGCTTTTCGGTCTAATTTTGGCACACTTTGTATTTATGTTTGGCGATTCCATTTTCACAGTCTAAGGCTTATTCACTTCCGTATTAGAGTGCTTCCCTTCTTAAATGTACGGCAATGTGGCCTCTGATTTAAATCAAAGAGAGAAATACCAGCATTGGATCCAGTCAGAGGAAACTATTTATCAGTTGAATACCATATAAACCGAGTCACGACTTAAAATATATTTGTTCTTTTCATTTATTCTTGTTTAGCAATTAAAATTCTGTGAATAGCATAGGCTGCATTACCAATCAATGCAGCGTGAAGTTCAAAAGGTATCGTTAATTTAATAACAGTATTTCTTTAGTACCAGTGATATATGTTTTCCCCCCGATTCTGAAGACTGAAATGATGTTTTTTACAGGATGCTGTGAAAATACTAATTCATATCTTCCTCGAAATGATAACATTTTATGACACAGTATTATGTTTCTTCTTCCACAACGAAATCCCCGAGAAGGAATATATACCGTTTCTCAAAACCAAGAAAACTTGACCCCATGATTTAACAGTTTTTTTTATTTACATAGAATTAAAATATCCCTAACAATAAAACACTATAGTAAACTATAGTTAACTATCGTACCAAAGTAAAAACTTTGGAACTTTGATTTACTATAGTTAAAACTTTGGAACTTTGATTTACTATAGTGAAAACTTTGGAACTTTGATTTACTATAGTGAAAACTTTGGAACTTTGATTTACTATAGTAAAAACTTTGGAACTTTGATTTACTATAGTGAAAACTTTGGAACTTTGATCTACTGTAGTGAAAACTTTGGAACTTTGATTTACTTCAGTGAAAACTTTGGAACTTTGATTTACTATAGTAAAAACTTTGGAACTTTGATTTACTATAGCTAACTATAGTAAAGTATAGTTAACTATAGTATTTTTTGTTAGGGATTGACTCATTACATGTTTTCTTACAATAATCATAATTTTGATTTCAAGAAATAGAATTCTTGTTATCAAGAAGTAGAATATTTTATATCAAGCATTAGAGTGTTAATATCAGGAAATACTTTCTGAGAAGAAAAATTCATTATATGATATCAGAATATTTTTTTTTGATATCAACAAATTGAACTTTTGATGAACTAAATTAACTTGGATAAAAAAAATGCAATCAAAAGATTGAATTTTTTTTATCCAAAAAACCCCTAACATTTTGAAATAAGAAAATCATTTAGTTACAATTATTTATATCGGAAATTCGATTTTGATAAAACGTAACATACAAATACACTATTCAATGACACATAATTTAAAACTCAAAGGCATTGCCAAAACGGTTGCATCACCAACGGTTTTGATCCGATTTCAATAAATTTTGGAACTTTATAACAACTTACAAGTAGACTTTATACTATAGGATGTACATATAAACTATGAGTTTCAAGGCTATTACAAAAAAAGAAAAAAAAAAGAAAAAAAAGAAAAATAAAAGTAAAAACATTCAACGCTGCATGGTTAAAAAAATCTCTTTGAAATTATTTCCAAATACTAAACAGTATCAATTTTTCTTTGAGAATTTTTTTTTTATAAAAACCCTTCACTATTTTTGCCTTTTCTTGATTACCAGTATCTCCTATTTAAAGAGGGTATTACCCCCTTTATCCAGGGATGTTTTATGCCAAGCTTTGTTGAGATTGGTTCAATGTTTCCAGAGAATGTCAAAAATGTGAATGTTAACAGACAGATAGATTGATGGACGACGGAAAAACTTCGATCAGAAAAACTCACTTGAACCTTTGACTCAGGTGAGCTAAAAAGAATAAAATACTTGTATATTTCCCTCAATTGATTGGTAATGTTAGAAGAAGATTTTCAAGGATACCACCGAAGGTTTCTCGATAAATTAGTAAAATGTTTATGCAAAATGAAAAAAAGTTTATTTAAAGTAAAAATGAGGCAAAACACGTATGAAAAATAGCATCAAGTATCTCAAAAACAGCTAAGATTATGAGATGTATTGTGTATGGTATGATATTTTGTAATCAAATGATTTTTTAAGCAAAATAAAAAATACAAAACTATTAAGTCTGGAATATTGTGATGGCGACATTGCTATGGACAAATTGTTCATAAAGCATATAGGAGATTCCTATGCATACAAAAAATGTCAAAAAATTGTATTTTCAAAATACGACTGATGTAAGTTTTCCTTGGATTTCCTGCAGGCTTCACAGCATTTTTCTATCTAAACAGACTGGATGTTTTGTGGTTGAACAACCCAAACCTTTCAAACAGATCGATTTCCCCCTGTAATAACACAAAATGTCATTATGTATAGGTAATATCTCATTTGAAGGAAAAAGGCTGACTAAAAATGTACCAACATTTATATATTTCATGTACGTATCGGAATTATATAATGCTGATGAGTTTTTACAGCCGTGATCTCCACAGTACAGTTTTTAATTTTAAAAAAAATTGATTATAATAATAAAACCAATCAAATATAGTAATTGTTTCCAAAACAGGCTTTGAAAAAAATCATGGTAAAATTTTGTTGTGTTTTGGACTCATTGGTTTGATACCAGAGTCAATTCCTTAATTAAGGCAATTTAGTCTGCACAAAGTGATAACGCTTAAACGAGCGAGTCTTTTAATGCTTCCATTAAAATAATGAACACATGTGAAAACCTTTAGGTGAAGATTAGAATCTATATATGATTTAGTCCTTCTTTGCTTGATGGATAATGAGAATGACACTCATGCTTATTTTTACACAGTGCTACGACTGTGTCCTCTTAATTGGCTGAGATACCTGAGAATAATTCGTAAGGAGTAACAGAAACAAAAAAAACGTGACATGATTGACAGCTTCATGCGGATTAAGACAATGTACTAGTACATAACGTACTTTATAATTATCCAAGAATGCAAAAGTAAACATTCTGGGACTCAATCAAAATATAAAAGCTTCGAAAGTAAAAATATCAACCATTTTGATTCTTACCTCCTCTATTGTACTGCTGCATTCTCTTGGTTTGTCGAAAACTCTGGGGTCCTTTATCCCAGGCTCAAATCCTGTGTATCCAACACTGGCCATGAAACCAGCTAAAAAAGGAGGTAATTCATGCTGTACAGTAACTTTAATAATTTTAAAAATATAATAAAAAGATAATACGTAATCTCTTTTGATTATTCTAGGACCTACATCAATTTCAACTTTAATTTTGGCCATCCAAGAATCGTGTTGTTCAGAAATAATTTGACAAATTTATTTACTTTTCCATTGAATACAGTAAAACACGCTTATAACGAAGTGCCAGGGACGAACGATTTTGCATCGATATAAGCGTAATTTGATACGTTAAGTTTACTTGTACAATATATTTTAAAGTCACGGGGAATGAATATCACTTCGCTATAAGCGTCAATTCATTATAAGCGTATTTGCTATAAGCGTATTTTACTGTATTTCCTTCATACCTTTCTCTGTGCCTGCTGTGATGGTATCTCCGACAGGGATACACAACTTGTTAGTGATCAAGAAATAAGCATTTGTGTTGTACTGCTTTATTGGGATCTCGTATGAACTAACGTCCAGAGAGTCAGTAGATGTCCCCAAATGTGTGTTACTCACTTTTTTGCTTCCCTCTGTGAAAGGTAAATAAGAGGCCATTGGGCCACAACTCTCACCTGAGACCCCTTGGCCCAGCTTGTCTTCAGAAGATTTAAAAAAAAAATTCTCTATATTCTATGAAAAATTTTGATCCCAAATTGTGACCCTACTCTACTCTCTGGGGCCATGATTTGAAGAGACCTTAGATCTTTACTACGTGAGAATGCGATTTATCATAACCTAGCTGTTCTTGAAAGAATTTTTAGCTTTTTAAAAAATAAATCCCTTTGCAAACTTTGATCCCTTTTGTGGTCCTACTCTACTTCCTGGGACTTGATTTAAACTATACCTTGATCTGCACTTCCGGAGGATTCTTGGACCTAGATGTGACTATTCATAACCCTGCTGATCT